CACGGTAATAATTGTTTCCGACAAAACCTTGATCTCTACATCAATGGAAATTATAGATTTAAGTTTAGTTTTACAAATTAATAAAACCAATAATAAAATCAAAAGGATGAACAAGTTAAGCTTACCCCATGAACTCCTGTCCAAAGAAGAATGTTTATCGTCTAACAGTTGTTTGATGATCATATTTGGAAATTATTGTAATTAAAATTGAAAAATCAAGAAGAAACGATAAATTTTTGTTTTGTTTTTAGAAGGCAGGTATTGCCCTGTAGAAAATGAAAAGGAAAGAAGTGAGTGGGAAGTGCCAAATAAGTAAAGATTGCGTGTTATGCAAAGTACCTTTGATTACACTATACCATGATCATCATTTTATAGTATGATTACTCCTTTTCATAATTCCTGACTTTTCAAACAGCATAGTGGCATTTGACATCACCTCTCAGCATCATATATTTGTTGTGTTCTAAACCTCTCAGAATCATAGTCAAGTGGTATGGTTTATTTTAAATACTATTTTAATTCTAATGGTATATTTTAAATATTATTTTAGCAAAACAAAAAAAAAATAAAAAAAAAATAGAACCCATTTTCGTGCATTGCAAACAAATAGCAATTTTGCGTCTTGTCTACCTTGTTAGAGACATAGTATGATTTACCATTTACCATTCAGCCCATTTACGTGCATTCCAAACCAATTCATAGCACCCGTAGTAGTGACAGAGTATGATTTACTCATACTACATACTCAACCAATTCATATTACTTTATTACTAATATAGATTTTTAGTAATGCTAATATAAATCTACATACTACATATTACACAACCAATTCCCTTCTAAATAAAGTAATATGTAGTATCCTCTAAATAAAGTAATAAAATAAATCAAGGTGGAATTGTATTAGCATATTACTTTATTTAGAGGATACTACTAAACCAATTCCCTTTTTCAATATAGAGGACACTACTCATTTTTATTCCCTTATGCTACTTATAAAGATATTCAATATTAGCGCAAGGAAATCGTATATCATCCAATATATCAGTGTAAGAAGTCATAAACTCAACCACTTCTAATTATATTTTTCTATAAATTATGTATAAGGTGGAATTGTATATCATCCAATATATCAGTGTAATAATTACATCGTAATAATCAAAGGTTAAAATATTTACATTGTAATAATTTTGAAAGCATATTACATGAGATACTTGGGTTTGCATATTTACATTAAGATGATGAAAAACGTTTAGTCGACAAATTACGAAAATAATCAAAGTCTAAGAAGTTTACAAAGAAAATTATTTTTCTTCTTTGATAATATAGCTTAAGATATGCCTATTACAATGCAAAGAAGCAAAACGACAAAAAGGATTTAAGTTAATAATGCTATTATAAAAAAATATATAGGGTTTAGGAATATTAGAATGTCTGGAAATAGTTTATATGCACTTACAAATATAGAATCCTATTTCATTTATTATAGGGTTTAAAATCTTAATTAAATAATAAAATAATGTATAAAAGATGATTAGGGGATTTTTCCCTACCAATCATCATCTGACAAGTGGACTATTCAGGCTCTGCCAAGTGTCCGCCACATGGACCAATCGAAGCCTGCCATGTGTCAAGTGTTGATCAGTCCACTTTAGACCACTTATGCCACGCCAGGTGGCCTCCCCATGCCAAATGGGAAAACGACCACCTAGGCCCAGAATCCTGAGGAAGCTCAATCAGCCCTAGGTTGACCTAAACCTAGGACTGGCACGCTTCCCAAGGCATATAAATACATTCATTAATCCTCATTATAGGGGATCCAGAATTAATTACTCTCACCTAGAGAACCTAAACACTTTGATCACTGCTCACCTAGAGGAACCAGATCTCCCAACCTTTACTTTTTCCGCACTTTTTACTCCACATACAAGGACTAACTTGATCGTCGGAGGCGGAGCTCCCAACCAACAGGAGTCTCCGTTGTTTTGCAGGTACATGTACATGGATCCCAGTCCCGGAATTGTTACTCTCTCGCAGGACATCAAAAAACTCCGAAACAAAAGATACAAATTAAAGTTATATATATATATATATATATATATATATATATATATATATATATATATATATATATCCCAATTATGAGAAATTGAGTGTAAATAAATCTATGGTTGAGTAGTTGTGTTGTAAGAATTCGATTTAATTATTGATTTTAAAGGCTATTATTTGTTGCTTATTTTAATATAAAAAATGGTTGTGGATGTTAGTATTTAAGTGTTATGTTGTTATTTAATGTAAGCACTTTCAATTCCAAGTAAATTTAGTGTAATTGTTTTATTTAATTATTAATATTGTTGTATTATTTGATTTCCTTATAAAAAATGGATATAAGTTTGGTATTTTAGCATCCTTTTATTACAAAAATAAAATAATGAAATTACAAAATACAATGTATATTTTTTAAAATTTAATCTAAAACATTTTAGTAAAGGATATTATCACCTTGTTTTGTTTTTAAAATAAAAAGGGATACGATTATATGAAATACAATGAACATGTGTTCCTTTTAAATTAAACATGTAATTTAAAATTTAAATTTTAAAATCTAAGTTTTACACATAATCTGTTTTAAAAATAACGTATAAAAAAAAATGATCGACGGAAACTTAAAAGCATCCCAACACACGTGTGTATAGATATTATGCATAATAAGACACATAGGAAAAGTTTCTTTCTATTTTTAAATTTTTAAAATGTTTGCACTATAGCGAAACATTACGTATAAAAGTGAAGAATTTGTGAAATGGTACTTTTTGGAAGACATAAGGATTCATTCTTTCAAGAATATGTAATAATTATTCAACCTGGTTTAGATTGGCTGATTTATGTATTTGCAGTTGTGTTGTTTCTAACACTACTCCTTCATTTCCTTTTCTGTTTCCCTCTTTTTCTTCTGTACTCTCTTTTCTTCGTTCATCTTCTTTCTTCAACCAACAAAAACCAAAAAAATGGCGAGTACTGATAGTAATGCGACTTTTGGGGAAGTCTTCACTCCATCTACATGGAAGCCGAATGCAGGAAACTTAAAAGAAGAGAAAATTTCAAGTTTTTTGTTATATTTTGTTTATATTACAAAGCAGTTGAACATAAATCTAGACTTTCTACAACAAGACACTCCGAACATGGAGCGAAAAATGGAAGAAGGAGAAACGAGCAGTAAAAGAAAGCGAGAGGTTGATTATGATGACCGTCAACTAAAAGTGATTTTTGTTGAATCTGATGGAGATGAAGATAATGTCATAATAGAGGAAGAACATGAATCTGAAGAACAAGGTGAGAGAAAGGAAGATGATGAGACCGAGGAAGAGCCTAAAAGCGACCAAATTTTGATTCAGAAACCCAGACCAAAGAAGAAGTTGTACCAAAATTGGATGATGATGATGATGATGATGATGATGATGATGATGATGATTATGATGATGATGATGCTAGTGGGTCTAATTCTGATTAAATTATGGGAACTACTATTAAGGAAATCAGGGATCAAGTGAGGATTCTAATATGCATGAAAGGAAAAGTTTGTGATTGAAGGCTACAACAATGGAATTTGATTATCAAGGTGCATTTAGGGTTTTTGATTTTCTAGGTTTTATAGGTGGTATCATGAAGCAAATGCTTTTGAAAATTGTTTTTTTTATATTAGATCAAAAAATCTAACTATTTAACTTTTAAAAGGTATGGTATATAATTAGGAAGTTAGAACAGTAGGTTGAAGTTGCTGAATCAATGAAATTATGATCTATAAATAATTATTCATCTTGGTTTGAAAGCATTAGTTTTGTGTTGCTTTGTATTATTTGTATTGCTTGTATTTATTCTTGGCACAGGTTGGATGATGGTGAACATATATGTAAAATTAGAGGGTTGCATATTTGGTGTTTTGATGAATGGATAGACTTTATTGCTAATGTATGGATCTTAAGTACTTATTTGTAACTTTTGGTGATGCTTTAAGGACATAGCTACTGATGATTCTGTAGACTAATTATGCTTTTGATACTGCTTCGAAAGAATGCTAAGTCAGTGTATTTATTAGTTCATTTATCTAGCAATTCTAATAAGCAAGTACAAAGAAAATACACTTGAAGTTCTTATCCATATGATATTTCACGTTATTTTTATATAATAATAAGCAAAAGGTCGTATGGCTACAATATTATAGAAATAGAAACCAACCTCCTACTGATATTCTAAGTACATAATATATGTATTTTTTTTTTGTAGGAGATACCTAAGTAATTAGACAGCAAAAGATGGACTATTTGCATTGTTTGTCGAGCTTGGTATTTTAACAAACGGTGTTATATAGGAACATGTATTGTTAAGAATCTTGTTCCTATTAAAAACCACATCCCTTTCTTAATCTAAAGGCACTACTACATTTTTGATCTATTGCAACCCCCAAATCCGTTGCATTAGGCGTCAAAATCCGTGGCATTAGGCCTAATGCAACGGCCATGTACCGTGGCATCTGCTGGCGTTGCAGTAGGTCTAATGCAACGGCTTATGACACCTAATGCCACGGTACCACTGATCCGTGGCAATAGACCAATAACTGTTGCAACAACATAACTTATCCGTGGCAATAGAGTACTGACTAATAATTATGATGAAATTGAACCTATTACAACGGCATAACTTATCCGTGGCAATAGAGTAGTGACTAATAATTATGATGAAATTGAACCTATTGCAACGGATAAAGCTAATTAATAGGAGTACGTATCTACTGCAACGGATTGATCATTAGTTTTTTTTTTTTTTTTTTTTTTTTTGTTGTTGTTGGGATGGAATGGTAATATAATATTAATTAGTCGGTACAAATCTAAATATACTAACATAAGCAAATTAAAGTATCATTTATATATAATAATTATAATGCAAAATACGTACATTACAAAATATTACTTGCCTATTTTTGGTATGACATACCCTACTAATAATAAATAAAAGTTAGATAATTAATTTGATCGTCCAAAATACAAATTGTCAACATATATATAAGCCGAAATATCCAAATCTTCACAAAGCCGAAACTTGAATAAGAGTCTCCAACATATATGCACCATTTGTTAGATGGCTAGTCACTATACTTCCGCTCCATTTGACTCCCCATGCACCTACACGTAAAATTGATAAAAATAAAAGAAATATAATTAAACTAAATTATAAATTATAATAGACCAAGGCCACAATCAACATAGCTCAGATTATGGTTGTTTAAAAGATGGTAGCAAAGAAATTTTTTTTTTTACACAGAAAGGAAAATATTATTAATTTATAGTGGCAGTAGCCACATTAATTACCAAAAGATAAGCATTCCAAGTCTAAAATACAAAATAGCACCCCGGAATATAACAAAGTACTAGATAAATAACCAACAAGAAATAGAACTAAGTAGTAGTCAAAGGTATTCTGGAATCAAAAGCACCAGATTCATGCACTGTAGGTGAACTAATTAAGTTGCCTTCATTATTTCTGGAAGGGGCACATTAGGAAAATTGTTAGAAGTGTGCTCCTAAGAGAAGCTAAAAACTGTAAGTCTGTAAAGATGCCAAAATTTATACCAAGAATTTCCTTATCATTCTTCTCCCATCAAAAAAAAAAATCAAAACGGTGCAGAAAATTAATGCCCCCGTACATTGCTTAAATTTTTTTTATACTACGCCTGATTATGACCAAAAACAGTAACAGGGACACATCTAAACCCCCCCCCCCAAATAGCCTATGTCTAAGACTCTGAGGAACACCGTCCATGAAAACGAGTCTAGTGCCTCTCCATTAGCACAACACAAGGACACACATAAGGAGATAACACGTAGCCTTCAAGCCAAAAAATTCTCACAAGTATTAAGTTTCTTACTCTGAGAAATGATGTAGTGTGTAGTTACATTCCTGTTAGTCCTAAACTTAAAACTGTAGTTCTAATTCCTAAAAAAAAAATGAAGAGGTGCATGAAAAAGGTGATGTTTACAGCTTTGGGGTTGTTCTGTTGGAGCTAATCATAGGGAAAACAACAATAGAAAACAGAGATGATGAGCGCAGCTATTTCAAGTAGTACGATTTCAAGTAGTATGATGAAAACAGAAAGTACGAGTACTAACTCAAGAATCTTGTCCTTATTGATTGATAATCTAGAGATGCAACAGGCTATAAAAAGCATGAACTCAGCAAAAAAAAACATACAACAATAAAAAGCAGCAGCAAACAACTAAAGCATCAACCGTATAAAGAAAAAAAAAAGCAATAAAGCAATAGTGGGCAGCAGAAAAAGACATCAACAACAGCAACATTTCACAGTAGGTTCAGGTCACCAGCAAACAAAAAAGCTAGAGACATTTGGATATATTATTATGATGTTAAGTTGAGAAAAAAGACAGTTATATATAATACACCGTATAATTTTATAATTTAAAGTCAAGGTCAGTAAATATAAATCAATTATATGCATGGAAGGCCCAAGAACTGAAAATATAAAAGCAGATTAACAAAAGTAAGATTTTATGGAGAAATGAACAAAAAAATTTACCTTTATGCTAAAAAAACCAGAAAATGAACCAAGAGCAGGAGATCTGCTGTCAGTGGAAGATGACTCAGGATCCCAAATACTTATCTGAAAGTCACTTTACAAAATTTTACTGAAGTCTAGTAGGAGAAGCATTCATTTAAGGTATAATTAATTCTAGTGCTAATATTTATATTGCCAAATGACAAGCAATTCTTAATTTTACCACGGCAAGTATTCACCTTATTTTTTTTTAGATAAGTGATTGCGTTTTTGTGAAGACTAACGAAGTAACGTGTCTAATTTTCCATTGACAGGGCATATAATATTATAAATCTCCAGAAATAGAGAAGTTGAATGTCTAGAAACCAACTGCAATTGAACTTTCCATTAAAAAGGCACATTGCATTCCAAATTGTTGTTCTATTATCTAGAAAGAGGAGGAAAGTAAAAAAAAAAATTAAAAAAAAAATCAATACTACCCTCCATCTCATATTATTGGTCACTTTAAATACTAGTATTCTATTCAACACAATTTAGACATTTTACATTAATTTATTCTTAAAGATACTTTTATTTACCCTACTATTGTGATTTTTAAGGATTTATGGACTTGGCCTAGGTTAGTTCACCTTAATTTTAATAATGTGATACTCCGTATAAATTAATTTTTTCTACAAACTGGAATAAGCAATAAGAGGTAAACTAAACAAAGCTACTCCGTATAATAACAAGAATTACAACCAGGTTGACCATGACAGCACCACCAATGACGACCACAACCACCCCTTTCCCTCCCAAAAGTTAAATTTTGTATGCACAGCACATTGACTATTTCTACTCCCTGTGTTTCATTTATAGCCGACTTTTGTTTCTAGGAGAGTTGAGTGTGTAAGAAAAAATAGGATAGAATAAGAGAAGGGGGTAAAAAGTTGGGTGAGTAAAAGAAAGGGGTGAATACCCAGCTTATATAATCAGGCAGAGCAACTGAAGATTCCAGCAATGAAAATGCTAGAAAAAGGGAAAAATGAAGCAACATGACAAGCATGAACTATATCAAATAATTGTACAAATGCAGGAAAGAAAAAATGTTTTGGCACATACCTATCCAGAGACACAGGTTGGCGAGTTGTTTGCATTCTTCAAGTTACAGAAGCTCAGAAGTCATGACAAGTGACATCCTAATACACGCATGGTATGCCTATTATTGGAACAAGTATAAACTATGTAACTGCAAAATGATTTTCTCTAGTTGTTATTCCTTTTAGCTGAGTAAAAGAGCATATGCATACTTAGACATGGTTAAAAATAAATAAAATATGTCTTTAGAACAAAAATGAATAGATGTTAGATGCAAGAAATTACCCATAAAATTTCCACACCTTTCTTCACTTCTACATGATTAATTAACTACCTGAATTTGCCTTGCTTCTGTGTAATAGTAATCCAGCTTTCTGTAAAGTTGTGCATTCTTCTTTTGGCATTATAACGTTTAAAAATAGATTGAAAAACAAAAAACAAGGAATTCCAAATTAATATAAAATGTCAAAAAAAATAATGACATGCATGCCCCCTTAACCTCCTGGTATACCACATTTAAATACACACCTATGGCAACTGACAAATCTTCTCAGTAGTTAAAACTTCATACAAACCCAACATCAGCATTTCAAAACATTCACATGCGAAATGTAAAAAGTAGATTAAATACCACACCAAAAGGGGGTATAAATAATTAAAAATGTTATTCCCAATTATTACAAAGTCCAGACCAATGACAATTTGCATACAAGTTAAAGGCATGTAGGATGGAAAATATTCAAACAGAAGTGCTCTTAGGATAGATTCAAAACTGCTCTGATCACTGATGAACAAATGTCCACCATCAGGAACAAATAAAAAACAGTGAGACAAAAGAAGCACAATCAGTATTGGGTAAATGACATTCAATTTATCATGCTATTTTGTCATCTGATTAACTAAATATAGCTTCATTATGCAACCTATTAATATTAAATTAGAGTTCCTTACTGTCCAAGATAAGAGATATCAAAGTGGATTAATTAGCTTGATTACATTCATTTGTTCGTTTAGGTCAAGCACGCACATGAGCTTGAACAATGGCTATAGCAATTAGAAAAAAGTAATAAACTTGGATCTCTAATGTATGAATGAACCAAATCAGCCACCCCAAATCAATATTCAACTTCATCCCAAACACAAAAGCAAAAACTTCAAATTTAATTCTCAAAAACGAAAATTCGTTGTTTACCCTTTAAAATTCAACAAATGTAGAATAGGCACACCTTCACTAACTTAGGACGGGAAACATAATCAATTACTCAGATACATCAACGAAAACCAGAACAAATTACCATAGAATTTGCAAATGAAGAGCTAGTAATTTGAACAGATTCAAAATAATATAGCCAACCAACCTTAAGTTTGGAGCACGAACTTGTTGCCCTTTATTACTTTGATTTTTATTATCTACCCAACGTTGCCTGGTCTGGTTCCAGAGATAGAGACTTGCCAACAACATATTAGAAAATATGAGAATGAATATAAAAGGAAAACTAGAACAAACAAGGCTAATGTGAAAAAAATACAAAAGAATTGACAGCACATTTGAATGCCCACCACTAGGTGGCTAGGTGAGTTGTCGTGCTAACACTGGTGGTTCTGTTTTTTGGTTGTTCTGTATACTACATTACAGTAGCTTTTAGCTTACCTAAATTTGAAGGCAGGGTTGCTATACTAATGACAATAGTACTCCCTCGGTTCGAAAATAATAGTGATGTACACTATGTTGGCTGTTTAGAAATTAGAATTTTAGGGTAGGTTGTGTCGCACTTCCTTAAATTAGGAATAAATTATGCATGTTTTTACTAACGTAATATTTACAAAAACTGACAATTGATTGAGGATGGGAATGAGACAACTAGTCGACGACTATTTTCATGGGTATGCTGGTGAAATCATGGCAAGTTCTTAGTATGAGGCTGGGTAATTACTACAGTATCAGAATTATTTTTGGGCAGAAGTAGTAGCTTAGAAATGAAAGTTTGCCAGGTAGTTTTGTATAAGCTGATGTGCTTATGTTAGACTTCAGATGCCTTAATCTCTGGCAGAAAAGTTGTAGAACTTTGCTGTCATGTTTATCTTGTCATACTTTGAAGACCATCTTATTTGCAGTGGGAAAGAAACTCCCTTCTTTGGTAGAATCTGTTACTTTCTGTGGCGTCCAAACATATCATCTTCTTTACAAAGAAGAATGCCTTATTGTTCACTCATTGCTTTTCCTAACAGTTACTCAAACTTCAAACGTATGTCAGACAATTGATTCTGTTTCTTGTATAGAGTTAACTTATTTCTTAGTTTCTAATTCTCAATCATCTAAGTACATCTAGTCAAATGTTTTTCTATGTTCCCAAAACTGAATCATGTACTAGATGTCTACATCATGTTTGTCTAACAAGGTACGCATTGAACAAGGGATGTATCTACCAAATAGTCCTTCATGAACCAAACTACATCTAGCTTTTGATTAAGGAAAGGAGGGTATGATAGACTCCTAATTTCAGTGATTAAATCTCTGAATAATCTGTTTTTAGCTTCTTTCACCTTCTAACAAATTAATAATCTTACACTTGGCCCACAACTTATCAGTTGGTTAACAGATTAAGTTGTATACACGTGCAATTATGAAAAAACAAATTTCGGCCACCAATTATCAAAAATAAATAGTTAGAAACTTGGATCACTAAAGTCTTACCCCATGAACCAAATCATCCACCCCAAATCAATATATCTTCTTATCCATTTATAAGAAATTCCCCCCAAAAAACCATTGTTTTTAATTGTATTAATTTCATCATTGTGTTGTTGAAAATAAGGGAATGAATCATGGTTGTTGATAAAATCTTGGTTTATGTAGCCGACCCCATCATTGGGATTAAAGTTTCGATATTGTTGGAATTTTAATTGTTTTGGGTCTTGAAACAATATCTTGTGAGGTAGATTTATATGTACTCAAGATTACGAATCCAATAATTTTTATTTGGGACAACTATTTACACACAACATATGTAAGACCATTTTTTTAAACAAGGTTTTGGGATCTGGGTATTTTATATAATTATTTTTATTTCATATTGATAAACTTATGTTTTTAGGAAAAGGCAAATTGACCATGTTCTGATGTTGGAGTAGACTGTAAGTATCGTGAGTGACTGAATACCATAGTGGACAAATTGACTCTGTCTTTGTTAATGAGATTCTTATTATTTCTCAATGATATGCTGTGAAAATTTCAATTGCAGGTAGTTTTGTACGTTGGTTTGTTTGTTTGTAGCTCAATTCTATATTCCAAGCTATGTTCAGTGTGAAGATTGAGAGATGTGGGTTTGTACCTTTGTTAATAATGGTTTGTTTTTACATACTTTATGGTAAATTGTTTGAGCTTCATTTGAAATTGTTGTTAAAGATCGCGAAATTGCCATCTACAATTCTTGTTTAATGCTGGTTATCTATGATGTGTAATCACTTACCATTTTAGTTGGATTAATATGGGTAGAGCCCCAATCTTGGGTATGAAGTCTGTGTGATTTCAAATGTAAGAGTAAAAATTGATAAGAATCCCATAATTTTCCATCTTATATACCCACATAATGAACTTGATAAAGATTTAAAACATATAATCAAGTATGACTTCCAAAATTATTAAATTTGATTACCTTTGACACAATAGAAGTCTATAAAATTTAAAACCAAAGTAATGACATATTATCACAATTTGCTGACATATTTACTACAGTATATATTTGAGGATTTGACAAGGTATGAAAATTTTCAGGGTTGCTTAAGAAGCTTCTTCTGGTCAGCATTGTTGGGCTGTTGGCATGGGGTTATCAAGCTACTCGTCCACCTCCTCCCAAAATTCAGTACTTCTAGGTTTAATTTCAAAAATAAAAAAATAAAAATCTCAATTTTGCTAAACGAAACCCAATAGCCGTTTAATTCCAAGAGTTACCAAAGCATAAACTTCATCTTCCATGGCATCAAATACAAATTCCCAAACACAAAAGCAAAAACTTCAAATTTAATTCTCAAAAACGAAAATTCGTTGTTTACCTTGAAGAGAATTTCGAGCAATCAGCTCAAGGAAGGGACATGCAACAATGAAATTGGACCGTCTGTACCGCTTAACTGCCACCACCACCGCTTGACTGCCGCTATCAGCCACCACCTTCGTCTTTTTCCTCTTCGAATTTTTGACTGTTTTTTTTCGTGATTTTCTGAGAATAGGTACTGTGAATTTCTGGAGTTGAATGTGAGATGATGGGGAAAATAGAGAATTGGGGGAAATTGAGAAAATGGAGATTGGGTGAGAAATTGAGAAAATGGAGTCTGTGAGAATGAGTGGAGAACGAAAATGGGTGAGAAAATTGGGGTAAACATACATCACGTGTGTTTGTTCAATATTTTGGTGAAAAATTAGAGGGAACAATAATGTGCTCTTTATATCTAAGCTAAAATTTTCATTTGATACAATACCACCGTTGCAATAGCTTTTATTTTTGTTAAAATAGCTAGGCTATTGCAACGGTTCTTTAGAGCCGTGGCAATAGCTCTACCTCTAAGAGCATTAGTTTTAACTCCGTAGCAATAGCCTACTCTATTGCAACGGCAATAAAAATACCGTTGCAATAGGCTATCTATTGCCACGACATTTGGATAGGGCGTTGCAATAGCTCATTTTTGGGCGTTGTATTTGATCGAAAATGTAGTAGTGAGGGCATTATCTAAGCACAAATAGTCTAAGGATATATGTTTCTAATGAAAGCCATAATACGCAAATACTTAAACACTAAAGCCTATTTGTAATAAGTAGATACATAACAATAGATTGAGTAGATGAAGTTGTTACCCAACTGATTTACCATAAATCTGGTTTTCTACTTTTTATATATCATTAGAGTCATCGTCATGAAAGATGACAGTTCAATGTCTGCTCTACTTCTCTTGCATAACAACCTGTGTTTTTCCTGCAACAATTGTTTCCCCCTTAAACCTAATAACCTTTTCTTTAAGAGCAGCATGAACGACTTTTTCTGTTTTTTTTCCTTTAATGGATTTTGTGATTTTGTCTACCAATTGTTTTGTTGGTTCAATGATATTCTTTGCTAATGTAGTGATACCAGTTTTATCATCAACATCAGATCTCTTTCTTTTTTTACCAGAACTTTAGGCCTAAGATTGAACCGCCTGATTTGCTGCAGCAATTGATTTTGTTAATAAGCAAGCATCTTCCTCTTCTTGACTGTAGATTGATAGGTCAATAGCTTGAACAATCTTCATCTTGATGATTTTTCTTTAAGGCTCTATATGTCTTGCCTTAATTGAAGTGCATGTGCTAGTATCACCATAATATCACAATTTCATTACCAAATAATCAATGCAACCTCATACACTACTAAATCTTCAAGCATAGTATAATGAAAGTAAATTCCCAAATCATGCAAGAATGGCTGTGAATTTGCTTCCCGCAATAATAGTTGTGCTGGTGTCTTCCATTTCCACACCCTTCACACTCCACTTAAAATAAATTCTTGGAGGAAACTAAAGTATTTTATTTGAAAGAAGGAGTGAGTTGGTTCATTGGTATCGTCTAATGTAAGAATAGTACCTGTTATATCTTTGATGGCAGTTGAAAGGGTGTTTAATGCAAGGTATGGGGTGATTGGGCAAAGCATATTATTGTTGAGGAATGCGTGGCTGAAGACATTGCAGGTTCTTATGGTGTTCAAGGAGCAAGGATTGATACTTGCCGCGCTTTTGAGATTCTCTATGGCTGAAACCTCTATCTACACTCTATGGCCTTGGAAGGTGACCTTCTTGTACTCTCTATACATATAGGCGGCATGACTCTAGCATGGAGGGCCAGGCAGCAAGGCACTTTTGGCCCACCTTTGAGGCAGACGCCATGGAATTGGTGAAGAAATGTGACAAGTGCCAGAGGTTTGGCCAGCTCATACACCATCCGGATACAGATCTGACGGCTATCTATAGCCCTGTTCCATTTGCAAAATGGGGCATGGACATCTTAGGTCCCTATACGCCTGCCAAAGGCGGCAAAAGATATATTCTGGTGGCTGTAGACTACTTCACCAAATGGGTTGACGTAGAGGCGGTCAAAGGCATCAAGACAAAGGATGTCATCTCCTTCATTTGGAGGAACATTATCACCCGGTTTGGGGTTCCTATGTTTATGGTTTTTTACAACGATCCTCAGTTTTAAACGTCTACCCTCAAGAGTTGGTTGGGAGATCAGGGGATCTCACACTGTTTTGCATCTGTTGGCCGACCCTAAGCAAACGACCAAGTTGAAGCCTTCAACAAGCTCATCTCAGACGACATAAAAAAGAAGATTGAAAGAGCTGGCGGCCTTTGAGCAGATGAGTTACCTCACGTCCTTTGGGCCATCAGAACAACTGAAAAGGGGTAACCGGTGAAACCCCTTTTCTCATGACATACGACACTGAAGCCGTCCTGCCAATTGAACTTTATGAGCCTACACTCCAAGTCATGCTCTATGACGAAGAGGCTAATTGGGAGGCCATGCGTCTTGCATTGGATTCACTTCCGGAGCGCAGGGGCAATGCCGCCTTGCGTCATGAGATATACCGTATGAGAATGACAAGGGCTTACAACAAAAGAGTGCACAACCGGCCCCTCAAAGTGGGGGACTTTGTGCTACGTAAAATGGAAGCAACCAGTAGGGCAAATGAGCAAGGAAAGCTAACTCCTAATTAGGAAGGCCACTACCGGATTTTTGAAGAAGTTAGAGGCGGCACCTACCGCCTGGAAACACCAGACGACAGGCAGTTAGCCAGAACCTAGAATGTAGATAACTTGAAAAAGTACTACTTCTAAGGAGATTGTAAAAATTTTTGTAAATAGAGTAAATGAACGAAAATAATACTTTATTTCAATTTTTTGTATAAAGTCCCATGTGCAATGCACATCCAGGCATCTTTTATGTCCCAACTGCAATGCACATCCGGGCATCTTTTAAGTCCCATGTGCCATGCACAACCGGGCACCTTTTAAGTCCCACTTGTGCAATGCACAACCTGACATCCATTTGCTCAGAATGACTAGAAAGCTAGGTACCTAACTTAGCTATTTAAAAGGCCCAAGGCCAGTATATTTCAAACCGCCTGCTCTAACCATGAGCAGGCATCCGACGACACCCATCCGGGTGAATTCGTCGAAGAGAACATCTCCCTTCCGAGTGGTACATTGTTTCATGCGTCATAAACTCAAACGGCTTTAACCGGTTAGGTTAAAGATAACCCATGGTCGTTCGAATGACCTATCGCAATCAAGATACACCCGGATATTGCCCCAAGGAAATACAGACGATGAATTAAATCTTACTAAGCAGCCGGCTTTTGCCCAAAATCATCCCAGCCGGTACCTGCTTCCATGCTGAAGTTCGACGTTGTTGACTTCAAAGTTCATCGGTTATTGCCCCTAGACAATACAACCAGTGAATTATATCATAGATTACAACTGGCTATTTCCTTAAGGCAATACAACCAGTGAATTACATCATTGGTTGCAACCGGTTATTGCCCTACACAGTACAGACGACAATGTCGACACTGATTAGCGGCTGAGTTTTGCCCAAGAGCACCCCAGCCGGCCCAATCCCCCATGCGTAAGGTGAGACCTTGTTGACCTCAGCATTTGCCTGACTATTGTCCCAAGGCAATACAGGCGGAAGTCTATACTTTAGTGCGCAATCGGCTTTTGCAAGAAACCAATACAGCCGGCTACGACGCTAGAAACAAGGTCAGAACCTTGTGTCATACCTAGCAAAGGTTAGAAGAGCATACGTCCGGTCCTAGGCCGCCTGCATGCCACCAACAGCGTTGTCAGGGAGCCAAGTGATAGCATGTAGCCGGGCAAGCGAGTACCCTGAGTTTGATTAAGCCGGCACAGCTGGCAGTCCTATTGTAACATGGTCAAGGACCGCATACTCGTTCGTCTGAATGCTTATGGACAACTGCCTACTTAGAGTTGGTAACTATAAGCAAACAACCATCTAGGGGCAAGCAGAGGCAATGCATCCGACATATCATAGTACATGCATACGACATTTCACAAAATCTCATGCAAAGCAAAGCAAAATTGCAAAAACAAAAATTAAATTGAGATGAAGTGACAAAGAAAACCGACCAAGTCGGCATATATATATATATATAATTTGTTCAAATGTTAGCCGGACCTTTGTCCGGAAAAGTGATACAGAAAAGTACACGACACGCAGGCCAGAAAAGATTGAATAACAAGAAGCTTAAGGCTGAGCCAGGCCCTTGGAGGCGGCCTCCGAAGCAGGAAGGGGGGCAATCTCTCCTTGATCCCCAACTTGGGGCTCCTCCCTTCCGTCTGAGACGATTTCCGCCTGCATGGCTTCGATCTCCTTCTTGACCCACTATTCATAAGGCTCCGGAGCCGGCTGGTTTGTCTCTTGGGCCTCAATAACAAGATTGGCGTACTTGTAGGCAAGCTCCAAGACGGCATATTCCGTGTCCGGATGTACCAAGGACCAAGCCATATGCATACGGTTGGCGCAATCTTGCTCATTCTCTTCAATGAGCCGATTTTGTTCTGCTTCTAAGGTGGTTTGGAAGTTCTGACTGGTTGAAGCCTCCTCCTTCTTCAAGCGGATGTTTTTAGTTAGCAGCAAAGTATTCTCCTTCCTGGTTAGTTCCAGGAGTTTGAGAAAATCCGACGTCTTCTTCACCTCTTCTTCCGCATTTTCCTTCCCTATTTGAAGGTTTTGGAGCTTGGTTTGAGCCTCGTTGAGGGACTTTTGGAGCGCCTTGATGGAGTCCGCCTGTTTCATGATTATGCTTTTAGTTTCTAATTCATGCACGATCATGGAATATTGGGCAACGTTATGAGAATCAGACGCATCCCGTTTAGCCTGTCTTACCTCCTCTTGCTTACGGGCGTAAGCCTTCTTGAGCCCCTCCACGCGAAGCATTGACTGCAAAGACCCAAACGGTGTTAAAAGGGGGTCAGACGGCATAATAACTTGGAAATATTCAGTTAAAAGAATTTATACCTCAGCCAGGCCAACTATGACCCGGTCAGCATTGAAAGTGTTGATCCCTGGGATCGCCTCATTCTCCTCCCTTAGGATGGCCTTCAGCATGGCCCGGGCGTACTGTTGTATGTCCGGCCAGCGAGGGGAGAGATCTGCACCAGAAAGAGATGGTGAGAAAGCAACATACTTCCCTCTTATTGATTGACGGCTGCCAGAAGAGTCTTGTGGCTGGAGCTAGGAGTGCGACTTGACCCGCATGGGCTTGCCAAGCAAAGAAGGTTTGAAGGGACCTATTGTACCTTGAGAAATTGGGTGAGGGTCATAACTGCCCTAAGCCGGTACAGAAGCACCGGACGCCCTAGACGGAGCTGCCTCCTTGGAAGCCTCTGGGACATCCGGCTGCCTAGAGGCAAGATCAATCCCCAGACTTGTGTTTTTGACAGATTTCCTCCCAACCGTCAGCCGGCTAGGAACTGTCTGGGAGGAGGTCTTCCTCGCCTTATTTTGGGTAGCCGGCTCCTCCCTCGGCCGGGGCCAGATAAGCTTTGTAAGGGAGCGAGGCGCCTTGCTCCCATCCTGAAATAACAAACGCAC